ATGGGGTTCCAAAGAATCTCAGGCTACTCATGGCCTACCGCGGCCCGACTTAAAGCCAAGGCGGAGCGACCGCCGGCAAAATCTGTGATCCCTGCATGTGCTTAGTAGGGTACAGTACTTTAACAGACAAAAAAAGTACTCAATTAAAAAAAACCTTTCTCTTGTGGGAATCAAACTCACGTCTTCAGTGTGCCATAGCCAAGGGCCTACCCGTTACACCACAGATAACGGTTATTTAAGGGAATCAACTGGCTAGGTGAGAACATTTTTGTGGAGCCATGACCTTGTCATCTTACATCCCAATGTGATCTCAAGGAGATGCAGCGGGGCCATTTTTTAAATTTCAAATTTAGAATGTTTAAGACAACCCTCAATACATTTCGCTACCTTAGAAGTTAGAAGACATTTGATGAATGTCCAAAAATATAGCAAGCTGTATGCAGACAATAACGTTTATTTGTAAAAAAAACAACAATCTTTTCTTCAAATGATATAATATAATGCTTCTCCAATATAATTGTAAAAATGAACAAAATATAAGATAAATCAATACAAAATTTCGAGGCATTTCATTGTAAACATCATCATACGTATATCATATCATCAAGGAGGACCTTCATCAGGCCTCCTCCCCTCACAATCTCTTGATTCTTGACTCATTGGACAAAGAGGAAACGAAGTTTATACATTCTGCCTGTATTTTCTTTGTAAATTTTTTTTGCGTAGTAAGAGTTTTACAGCGCTTGCACCTACATAAGGTCATGAGCAAATGAAACACAAGTTGAGAGCATTCACAACAATTCACAGCACGGTTTGATTTCGTTCAATGGTCAGGTTTAAAATTTTACAGTAAAAATTTCAGTCTGAATAAATTTAACTCTTTGTAACCAAAAGGTATACACATTGCAAAATTATTTCCGTGTCCCCTGATTTAGCTATGCCCAAGCAAGACCATATCATACACACTTTCTCTTGAGACTAAACTAATTAAACGCAAAATTAGAAACAGCAAAATCATTGACTAATGTTTGAATATCTTTGAGGTTTCACAGCTTGCCACTTTCTATTCTTCATACACTAGGGAGAAGAGGATTGGTCCTCACGGTAACCGCCAGCAACACTTTTTCCACCTGCAGCCTATAGTAAATTATAATCAGCAACTTACATTCTCATAAAAAATATTTTTAAATATATTAATATTATATCTAGGAGTTTTTAATACCCTATAGACACATTTTAGCTCGGGCTTCCAACCCAGCCTGTCAGAGCCAACCCTCACTAACACTAACAGAGATACAACATCCCCGTAAAAAGACCAAGATACTTAATAAACATTTTCGACCCATTTCAGTATCGAACTTGGGTCTCCTGCGTGTAACAACGAAGCGCCGAACCCCAACACATCAAATTAACAAAATTTTGATAATTCAAAAGCTGGTCACTTCAACTCTGCTGATCAAAGTCAAGGCTAATCAGGAACAAGTAGGAACATTTTTTAAATCCCAGCAGAGACACAAAAGTGCTAAAAAAAATCACTTCTCTATAAGAAAAACACAATAAACAAAAATAACTTCCCTGCATAAATTACTCAATATTTTGACTAGGTCGCAAAAGAGCCCAACTCCTGTTTTCTGTGTGCAATAGCGAGGAGTGTAACCATTACATCGCAGATAGCAGTTTCAAGAAAAGAAAGTAGAGGCTCGGATAAAAATAGCATAAAAAAGAAGCACATGGGGCAGACCACATCAGAGCATCAATCCACCAGCAGACAAAGCAAGAGCAAACAACACGCCACCCACAAAGCTAATTGCCAGCAGATGCAGTTTTTAGTTTGGTAAGGTTTTACGGCGCTCGCAATAGCATAAGGTCATATGAGCACAAGGGGTGAATGTCAACAGAGAAGTCCAAACAGGGAATCAGGCTTAGTCTACTCACCTTTCTAGCCTCAACAGCTCAAGTCAGCTTTGACTATCAAGGCACCCCAGAAATAGCAGTTCACAAGAGAGTGAGAAACATACAAAAGAAGTAGAGGAAAAATGACGATAGTAAGGATGAGGAAAGAAAAACCAGCAGTTCCCCCTATGTTGTTCCAGCACAGTATGAGCAAGACAGAAAAATTAGCCCATTTACAATTTAACTGTGCATAAGAACATGTTAATATCCCCTCTTTGGGAATGGACTAAAGACAACTGCCCCAGCAGACGCAGCTCTAGTGAATTTTAACAAGCGCACTGAGATCGGAGGGAAAGCTTTAATGACAGAAAAGAGCAAATACAGCAGTGCAGGTGTTCTTCTTTATGATTGTCAGTTAATATTGGGAAGAGGGGCAAAACCACTTTGAATACTCCTTGGTTTTAAAATAGCAAACTGGCTGTGAAATTAATATCAGTGAAACTATCAGCCTCTGATATAATTAAATCCGTCTGGTAGCAAAACATCAGCAAACTACCTTTCTGAAAACCGCTGCTTTTCTGTGCTCAAAGTAAGACATGTTGAAATAATCTTTAAAAAAGTTAGGCTCAGTCCTGATCTAGTCAGGATTTGAACAATTAGGGAACAGCCACAGGATCAGAACTCCATAACTCTGGGAGTGCTGAAATATTTTTCGATGGCGTGAACACTTTCGCGTGTAAAGAACAGACCACTGTGTGACATCAGCAAAAATAAACATTTCAGCTGTGGCATTTCTGCTTGAATAAACAGCCAAGAACTTGCAAATATAATACTACAGCCCTTTTCCATCAACCGAGACACAAGTTTTAGAAAGACCGCACACTTCAACCGAGCTGGAAAAAAAAAAGCAAATTTTTTGTTTCCTTTACTTTCACCCCATATTGAAATCCCAAATGATTTTCAAAAGTACAAATAATAACAAATAAATATGTGTAAAAATGCGAAGCACCATAAAATAGGTGGTCAATAGACACACACACATTGCAAACGCCATTCACTAAAAAAAGAAACAATCAGAAAACAGTCAAGTAATGGGTCAGGGGTGTACTTTCTATTTAATCATTAAAAAACATTTGTTTTGATTT